AGTGCAGGCAGACACCAAACTCCTGCTCCAGCCATCCAGAGGATTTGCTGCTCCAAAGCAGCCAAAGACAGGCTTAGCAGCATCCAAGCTCCCTGCTACAGCCTCCACTGCACAGTACTCAGTGGAAGTGTGGCTGTTTCTGCCTTTCCTATGTTGCTGATGCTGTTCAGAGCAGAGGCAGAAGGGAAAGGACACAGGGAGTAACTGCAGCTCCCCTGCCTTATTGCATTTGGGAGCAGAGGAATCTGTTGGCCAGGACAGTTATTCCTTAGCACCCCCTTGGATCCAATGTCCAGAAGAGGCAGAGAGCATTGTCTCATGAAATATTTGGCCTTGCAAGCAAGAGGAGAGACACCTTGATTTGGTTGCCCATGGAGTTTAGCACCATTTTTAGATTTTTCCAGTGCCTAGTAAGGTCTCCAACAAAGCATAGACTGGAGTTGGAGCTTTTTGCTGTCAAACTGTTCAAATCCCCTGTGGATTATCCACTGATTCATTAGCGCTGAGTTATTGCTGTGCTCCTCTTCCAGCAGGGACTCTAATAAAGTGGCTTTTTGCTAGCCAGCCAGTTATTTTATGAAACCTTCCAGAACTGACAAGCTCAAAGGCCTCCTTCAGGTGTGACTGCAATTGTCTGTGTACTCAAAAGAGAAATGCAAGGACTGAAAGTACCTCTCCCTTCTCCAAGCACAGGCTGAATTCCAAGATCAGGTGTGGGATGGCTGTTCTCACCCTCATGTTGATTCAGGAACTGCTCTACCTGCCTGTGTGTCCCTGTGGTTGCTCAGGCTGGGATGATGGAGACCCAGACACACTCTTGTACCCAGGCAGAGACTTTTGCCTGTCAGAACCTGTTGTTCCCCCTTTCCCCCACACATGACACTACACCTCTGGCTTTGCCAGGCCTGCCTTCCCCCAGCCCCTGTAAGATTAGCAACGTGCTGAGCCTCTGTCTTGCCACGGAGATTTCAGCACCCTTCCAGCAAACACATTTGCTGTGCAAAGAGCAATTCAGCACAGAGCAGCTGCTCGGTGAAGACCCTTGGCTTCCAGGAGGAATAGCCACCTCTCCAGCACGAGTCTAAAAGCACAGAATGCTCCAGAAAGTTACTCAGTCCCACTGGAGAGATGTCCATCCCAGCCAGGCTGGCTGTCTCAGGGCTGAGCTCAGCAGAAAACAACCCTCTTGGGCCACCACCTCCCTCTTTCAGCCACTGAAGTTCCTTCTCCTTAATTAGGGATACTAAAATAAATGGGGGGTCGTTTTTTCAGGCTACAGGCGTATGAATAAATGATGGCAAAGCAAGGGGTAAACAATGCTTCTGTTAGCCTTTAGTATGGGGTCTGCCCTGGCTTTGGAACATGAGTGGATCACAGGGTCCAGCTGGATGGGAAGCTGGAGTCAGGCATTTTTGGCAGCTTTACCAAGCTGTGGTTCCTCAGCTGCAGTGAGGACCATCACTGTCACATCTGCCATCATCCCAGGCCGCCCTCAGCAGCAGGATTTGGGAACCCAGCATCACAGCTAACCTGTTTCCAAGAGAGATGTGTGGAGACACACATGGCGAATCACCACTCACATGGCAGGAAAGGATTATCTTGCTGTCTGCTTTCCTGGCAGGAGGGCAGGAGGGAGCCTGAATCTTAGCAAAGCTCCTACAAACACAAGGACCAGGGCAAGATCCAGTCTCAGCCCTGGGCACCTGCCTGCAGATCCGCGCATGAGCTGGCCTGGTGAGACGTGTCTCTCCCAGAGCGTGGGTTGGGCTTTTTCTGCTCACACTGGGCTCTTTCAACCCCCTGATATAAGCTGTAAATAACAAAACCAGACTATGCTGGGTGGACAAAGAGAGGAGGTGAAGCCATAGAAAGCTATGCAGGGGTGAGAGCCTTGGTATCCCATGGGGCTGGGGCTCCAGCTCTGCCTCCCCCAAATTACTCTGGACCCATCAGGAGGGAGGGAGGGAGATACTGGGATGCATCTCTTGTAGGTCATCAAATGGCCATGGAGTGGCTTGAAGGCCTTTGGAGGAAGGAGAGAGGTTATAGGAGGAAACATGAGAGGCAAATCTGTTGTATGCAGCTTTGCTCAGAAGTCAGAGGCACCTCCACCCTCTGTCCCTGGGTACTGCTTTGAGATGACTCTGCTCTCCCTCTGCCAGCAGACAGAAGATGGGGCATGTCAAGCAACTGGGCTTTGAAAACGCAGGGATTGGCCCCTGTCCTGCTGGGGGCCTCCTGCCCAGCCTGGTCCCATGGCTGATGCTGAAGAGGGAGATGGGAATGAACATGGCCAAAGTCTGACTCAGTTCTGCAGCCCCTGCATCACTTCCATCAACCCCCCTGCACTGGTGGCCATGCAGGGACCACAAGTCCCTGCTGCTGGCTCATCCCTGCTGCTGTTTCTCTGCTCTGTCCCATCTCCTTAGACAACGCTACCCCAAAGTTAATCTGGGCCTCTTCACCAGGGTCATCGGCAAGCTGGCCAAAGCCACAGATGACCTCTCCAGGTCTCATTCCCCAGCTCCTAACCCACAATGGAGATGGATGGCTGCCACCCCCAGGCAGCAGCAGCCACCCTGACCCCAGAGAAGCCAGAGGGGCCTGGCTGGGCTGGACTTGGGGGACAAAAATGCAGCCGCTTGCATTTATTTTGCCTAACAACAGTGATCCCTCTGTATATTTTCATTCTGTTTTCCTAGGCTCAGCTGCCTCCTCAATGAAATGTTTCCAAAGCAGCCTGGCTTGGCAGCACGCCAGCCCCGGCTGCCAGATGAATGGGTGGAGGAGGAGGGACCCATTCCTCTTCTTGACACAGCATCGCTGCACAAGAGGCCTCTGTTGACATTAGGACTGGCTGTTCCTCCTTTCCCGAGAGGATCTGCCCGGCCCTCAGCAGGAGCAGCACACAGGGCCAAGGATTCATGTGACATGAAACTGACATCTGTCCTCCTCCAGGGTGGTAGCACAGCCATGGGTACCAGGGTACCCTGGTGCACCCTCCTCCAGGGTGGTGGCACAGCCACACATAACAGGGTACCAAGGAACAGCACTGCGAGAACCTAAAGCCAGCTCTTGTTTCTGGCCCTTGACCCCCCAGCTGAGCCAGCCCCACAACAAGTGAGGATTCCTTGGAGCTCTCTGACTCTACTTACACCATCACTCTCTCTTGGAGTGGGTGAGAAAACAGCAGAGAGCCTGTTTCCTCCCCCAAAACACCTCTCCACCCCACCCAGAGCAAAGCTCTCCCTCAGCATCGCAAGAGTACAGACACTGACACAGGATTTGCAGAGCTACAGGTTTCTGGCATCTTTCAAGGGCGAATCCTGTCATAGGGGACCCAAGCATGGCACCCCAAACCCTTCAGGCCTTTGGACAGTATTATATGGAACAGGAGCAGTTTCACTCTAAAGCCTTGCCCCTACTCAGTCATTTGTTCATCCAAACAATGTGACAGCTCTTTCCCACACCTCAGTGTCTCTACCCAAAGTAAAATGCCTACCCAAGCTTTCAGGGCCAGAAATTTGTCTGCTGGGAGGTAACCAAATGGTAGCTGTTGCAGTGGACTACACACCCAGCACCAGATGGGATCCCTCTCTCTGCCATGGCTAATTGCAGCACTGGTCATCAGTGAGGGAATGCAAATCCATGTATGCCCACTCATCACCTGTCACCTCCTCGGCAGGGACACCTTTAGGAGTTGCACAAGGAAAGGATGTGGAATTTAATACAAGTGCTGATAATGCAACAGAAGGCAAAAGAAAGAGATTAAAGTAATCAGCATCCTTCCAATCTGCACCTTTTTCCCTGATTGGTTCCTCTGGCATCTTCCGCTGGTGGCCAGCACCCAGCTGAGGCAAGCCAGGGACCAGAGGCTGGACAAGAGCAGCACCCAGCAGCATGCCACAGGAACACAGTCTGCTCCTACCAGCTGTGGCAGGGAGACTGCTCTGCCTGGATCTGGGGGAAAAGAGGCCAAGCATGCATCGATAAGATGAATTAGTTGTCTCAGCAGCACCAGCAAAATGAGCGAGAGGAGCCGAGCCCGTGAGGCCCGGCCTGCTTTGTTTCAATTACAGCAGCTGCCAGAAGAAAAAGATAACCTCAATATTGATGGCAGGAGCAGCAGACAGAGGTGCCCTTGCAGGCTACTGGGAGCAGGTAGAGGAGGAAGGGGGAGGAGAGATGGAGGAGGGGGAGCAGGGTCTCAGCTCATGGCTCTCCCCATGGGAGAGCCTGGCTGGTAAGAAAGACACATCTGATCCCATTGCACTCACCCCTGTGAGGAACAGCTCCTTTTCACCCTGGTTCTTGTCCTACTCACTGTGCAGAACATCCTCCAGCAGAGACGGGGTGCAGAAACCCAGCACTGGGACACAGCACCATGAAATCACTGAGCAGAAAATCATCTCTCTGCTCCCCACTCAGGATGCAGGGCTGGGAGAGGCACTGAGTATGGCTGTGTGGGATGATGGATGGAGCTGGAGTAAAGGGCAGAGACAGGCCTGGGGCACCACAAGCTGCAGGCAGGTGTGACTACCTGCCAGGGGCACAGCACCCACCTACCTGAGGGCTGGGGAGCCCCACAATGTGCCTGCAATGGGGACTGGTCTGGGCACTGGGGACAAGATGCCCGTGGTGACTTTGGACTGCATGTGGGAACCAGCTGCAGCTTGGGGCAGGCACCCCAACATCACACCTACAAGCCAGGTATGGAGGTGCCAAGCCAAATATCCTCCAAGCAGCACAGTGTTAATGCCCTGGACTCCCATCCTGGGAAGCAGCTGGAAGATAGGAAGAGATGGGGTCTTCTCTCGAAGAAGACTTCTCTTCAATGTTAAACTCCTTTACTTCCAGCTCCTGCTCAGGGGATGCAGACCATCCTTGGCTGCTGCACCTTGGGGTCTACATCCAGCCCTGTGTCCCTCCCTGTGCCCAGGGCACAGACCGGCACTGAGCAAGATCCCCCCGGACCCACCAGAAGCCAAACGGAGCAGTGGTCACTTCACAGAGGTTTTATTCGCACTCCGGATACCCGCGCTGCCCTCCCACCCCGCTCACCCCCAGGAAAGACCTCCGCACCCTCACCCTGTCCTCCCCGAGCGGTGCCCATTGATTCGGCCCCTGGATCTCCAGGAGGGGACAAGGCCACCATCTTGCGGCCACCAGCACCACTGCACACACCCACCCGAGCGCACGGTCACACACGGGGCTACAGGGCTTGGACCGTGGCGAGCTGCCACATCCCACCGCTCTTCGTGCCCTCAGTCCCCCGGACCATGTCCTGCCGGGCACACGCTGTCCCTCCCCTCGCTCCCTGGCCAGGAAACTCGGGGATTCCAGCACACCCAGGAGTATCTGGATGGGCAGAGGATGCCGGCAGTGCTGCTCCCATCCCAGATCGGGCAGAGGATGCCGGCAGTGCTGCTCCCATCCCATCCCAGCTCTGGCAGAGGATGCCGGCAGTGCTGCTCCCATCCCAGATCGGGCAGAGGATGCCGGCAGTGCTGCTCCCATCCCATCCCAGATCGGGCAGAGGATGCCGGCAGTGCTGCTCCCATCCCAGCTCTGGCCCCTCCACCCCCACCCCGCTGCTCTGTGCGGTGTCAGCCAGCAGTGACCAGGGACCTCCTGGTTTGCACAGCGGGCTTCATTGAGCACAGAAAGGCAGGCAGTGGCAGATGAAGGCTCAGAACTGAGCCCTGGGGCTGAAAACGCAGCACTGAGCAGGGTCCAAGGGGAATTTCCATCTCTATCACAGCCTAGGAGGGCAGCCCACATGAGGTCTGCTGGAGGGAGTTGTTAAACCAGTGCTGCTGGTGACCAGCAGCCCAAAGCAAGTCCTTCCATGCCTCTGTGAAGCGAGCTGGGGTCATCTGCACACTACTGGGTTCTGCAAGGCTGCCCAGCCTGGTTTAATGCTCATCCCCCTCCTTCTGCTTCCTCCCCTTGTGATGGAGCTGGCCATGGTCTCCATGGTGGTGGTGAGCATGGGTAGCAGGTTTGTGGTCCTCACTTGGGTTTGTGTCCCTCTCGCTGTTGACCTCGTGATGGCGTTGAGGATGGAGGGGCTTGTGCTGGTGGACGGGGGTCTCTGACTCCATCCCCTCGTGTTCAGGAAGGGAGCTTGGGGTTGCAGGGCCCTCCATGGTGCTGTTAGCCTGAGGAAAGTAACATAAGGACTGGTGTGGTATGTGAATGCCCACAGAACCCTGCAGAAAGCCTGGGGCACAGGGTGTGTGAACTGGGAAGGCAGACCAGCATTCATCATACAGAAAACTGTGGGTCAGAGCAAATGCTCTGCAGCCCTGACCCAGGGCACAGGGAGGACAGGAGAGGCTGGAGCACACAGGGTACAAGCCTCTAGACTTGCATCCCTTGGCTCAAGCTGTCTGTGGTCCAGAAACAGGAATTAGCATTTAGTATTTCTGGATGTACTTCTCTCCTGGGAAGTGACTAATCGCCTGCCAAGCTCAGAGCTACACCCTTTTCTTTGCTCTGAGCTTGCCACCTCTGCATCCACCGCCAGCCCTTTCTTTTATGGGAACAGTCCTAGTTAGCATTCCTAGACATGGGATATGACCCCTTTAGTCAATTCTTTTTCAACCGGAAAGCTCTGACCTATTTAAGTGCCCTTATTCCAGACCTTCCATCACCTTTCCTCTCAAACACATCTGAGGGCAGCTGCTAACCCAGAGCCTATCCCCAGCACAGAGATAAGATTGCTCTTGCTGATGTGCAGTGCCAAGGGCAGAAGGGATCCCAGCTCCAGTGAGCATTCCAGCTCTTACCTCCTGGGTAGTGTTGGGGTACAGGGAGCAGTTGCCACAGAAGTCCTTGATGTGGCTGGAGCGGATGGCTGCCTCCACATAGGGGAAGTGGAGGAAGCTGAAGGGCAACTGGATGTGGAAAGCCAGGCGGCCACACCTGAGGGGAGAAGTCATGGCCTGACTCAAGACAGGGGTCTGGAATCCCTCCCTCAGCCCAGGCATGAGAGGAGATTTTGGAAGCCCATCAAACGCTCTGTAACACCCATTAAAGCCTCAGGCGAGTCGGGGGACACTCACCGGTCATAAACAAGGAAGTCGTCCTTGTCACCCCCCAGGACCTGCCAGACGTCAGGGTCCTCCGGCTCGGGCTGGAAGACGGGGACGCCGGGCGGGGCATGGCGCTGCAGCTCGGGCAGCATGGCGCGGGACAGCGGCGCCTTCTCGTTGACGATCATGTAGCGGACATGGGCCATGCCCTGCCGGGCCAGCCGCTCCCGCAGGCCCCCGAGGCTGCGGGAAGGAGGCGCTGGGAGGGCTGCCGGGGCAGGGGGCTGCCGGACGCCCCCGAGCTGGCGGGGACTGCTGTGGGGAGCGGGAGTGGGGCTCACCTGTGGGCCTGCCTCAGGCAGAACTGTCAGCTGGCCTTCAGCAGGGCCACCACCGTCACCTGCCCTGCCGCCCCCTCCATGGGGCTCGAGCCGTTGATGGTCCATGCCGGCGCCTCCTGGCAGATCCGGCTGCTGTTGGCCGTCTCCTCAGAGGCCGAGGCCAGCCCCAGCCCCAGCCAGGTGGCCAGGGCCAGCACCAACAGCCCCATCCTGGACCCTGGCCCTGGCAAGGGGACATGGGGTGTTACTCTCCTCCCAGATCCACTGCAACCCCAAAACACCTCCCTGCAGCCTGCTCCAGGGCAGACAAGGGTGTGGGCAGTATTGGCCTGATCCTGGCACTGGGAGCCAGGACCCCCATCCCGGGGGGCAAGGAAATGGGTACGAGGTGGGGAACTGGGCTCCTTGCTGCTGTCTTTTGTGGGCACCCACTGCTACAGCATCCTGTTCTCCCCTGGCAGTGAAGACCCACTCCATATCTCAAGAGAAGAAGGTACTCCTCTGCCATGGGCCTTCTCCATTTCTTTGATCCCACAAAACAAACCCAGCCCCAGAGAGAGGTCTGACTTTGCCCCAGAAGGGAGCAGGGATACAGCCCTCATCATCTCAGCTGCCAGTGAGCAGTCACTGGGACAGAGATGGTTTCACCTTCAGGTCACCTTGAGAATCCTTGATGCCCCACGAAGAGCTTTGGGACTACACAAAGCTTTTAAAACCCTTGAGTCTCCCAAAATTTGCCTGAAGCCCTGTCCTCCAACAGCTCTCTAACTCTGCCCATCCCAGGATATTGCCCATCCCTCTAATACCCAGCACACTCAATGGGCAAGAGGGAGGATACGGGTCTGGAGGGAATGGTCTGGGGAGGGAGCAGGGAGATGCAGGATCTGGACAGGGTGGATGTCCCCCCACTCCCCAGCCCTCTCCCCGCGAGAACAAGCCCTCGATACCGCACTTCTCCTCGCTGCCGTCCTCCTTCGCTCCGGGCCCCAGCAGTTTTCAGCAACTTCCAGCTGGCCCTGGTCCCCCTTTTATCTCCTGACCACTCTCCCCGCCCAGAAGGGAGGAGAAGAGCGGGGACTGTGGCCCGGCCACCACTGCCTGCCTCGAGGGGACAGCGACAAGGCAGGCACTGTCCCGGTCGGTGCCATGTGGCCTCGGGGCGCTGCTGCCACAGCCCAGCCCGAGCCGTGCTGGAGCAAAGCGGTGCCTGGTGCCGGGCTGATGCCAGGGGCTGCCAGGCGGTGCTGCAGGGGAGGGATGGACACAGCCGCTGCAAACCAGGCACAGGAGGGCTGGGGGTGTTGCCAGGGACACTGCTTACACCAAAGGGGTGCAGGAATGTGGGGTGACCTCCAACAGCGCCATCCCTGCACGGGGTGCCACAGGAGCCACCAGTGCCGTCTCTGCTTCCCTGCAGCCAAAAAGATGGTGTCTCCCATACACACCGGGGTGCTGGAGCTCCCTGCCCTGTGGGGTGTCACCTCAAAAGCCGGGCTGTTCTGTTGTGCCCATGGCCGTTCTCAGGCCAAGCTTGGCCCCACAGCAACTCCCCAGTGTCCAGTTCCATGCCTCCTGTCCGGCCCCACGTTGATGGGTCTGTGCTAGTGGCGGTGTTTCCTTGGGAAATCACAGCGACACTGATTCCACCCCCCAGCCAAACAAGAGGAGCTCACCACTCTGGCAGCACAAGGACATCTCTGCAAATATTTGAGCAGTTTATTGTACCTGGGATCTGTACAAAAACATGATAAGGCAGGGAAGGGCAAGCAGCCACAGTCACAGCGGGGGCAGAACATGATCCCAGGCACACATAGAGCGGGGATTCGTCTGAAAACAGCAGCGGGAGAGGGGATCACTGCTGAGAGGCTTGAGGGGCCCAGAGATGTCTGCAAGGATGGTGAGCAGTCCCTCATGACTGACACCGGACTTTCCTCAGAGCTGTCACGCTGTTCCCCCCAAGTGCCCACCGGGTACCCCGGACGCTGTGAAGCGCCCAGCACTGAGCAGGGACACATTTCCCCGGTTCATGTGCTGGGACTCGGGCTGGCAGGCAATGACCCTGCACAGACACGAGCTGCAGCCACCGCCGGGCAGGCGCTTCCCCTCGGCTCATCCCGAGCCGCCGTGCCCGCGGTTTTCAGCCTGGGCGGCTTTTCGTGCGCAAACCGCGGCACCCGCAGCGGGCAGCGCGTTCTCGGTGTGCCGGCCCCGGGGCGCCGTGCCCGGTGCACGCCGGGGCGGAGCGAACTGCCCCGCCCCGCGCCGGCGCTGCCCGCCTCCCCTTCGCCCGCAGCCTTGACCCCGGTGAGCCGCGGCCCGAGGGCGAGCGGGCGCGGGGGCGGCGGGGCGGGCGCGGAGCGGGGCCGGCGGGGGCGCGGCGGGGATGGCGGCGGGAAGCGGGGCCGGAGGGAAGGGAAGGAGCGCCGGCCGCTGCCCATGTGCTCGCCGGGCTCCACGCGGCCCCGCCGCCCTGGGCTGGTGGGAAGGGGCAGGGAGAGCTCGGTGCACACCGCCCCTGCAAGCGGGCAGGTGGAAGGGAATATTTCAGCAGGTGTGGGGCCCCCAGCCCACTGCACACCTGTGAGGATTGGCCGGAGCGGCTCGTGCATGCCGTGGGATCAGGAAGCCTCAGTGGGTGCTCTGGAGAGGTGATTCCGATTGGGGTTTTGGGCACATCTTTTTTCCCTGTTGAGCATCACAGATATTTGGATTGGTGGGGAGGAAGATCACTTTCCCGAAGTGTCCCTCCTCTGTGCCCCTAGGGCAAGGTCATTGTTCCCAGACTGTTGCAGGGAGCATGGTGACTCCACGCTGTCCTTGTTTGGGAGGGGAAGGGCACATGAGCCCATCATGACCCCACTGCTCCCCTCCACTGGTGGGACACACCTGACAGGCGCTGGGGCAGAACAGGAGCGTTTTAGCTGTAACCAGTGTGTTGCTCCATGTTTACCAGTCCATGTTCCTGGTACAGGACATTCCCACCATAACCCTTGTCCCCATAATCTTGCTTACACATGCAGCACACCTCCTCCACTGGGAATCCCCGCTGACCTCCCTTCAGCACTCCCAAATTACACGTAGCTCCAAAGGGGACCCACAGGGCTGCATCCAGGGCTCAGGGCTTTCCTGCTCTGGGACCTCCAGCATGGGGCAGGGTAGCAGAGTGGAAGGCTGGCAGGAAGGCTGGACATCCTTGGACAGCTCTTTGTAGCTGGTCCCGAAGGTGGCTGCCCTTTCACAGTGCAAATTGGCTCCTGAGACCCATTTATTTAAAATACACACATTTAAAAGGTGCGAGTTTACACGCATATGGATCTGTGCTTGCAAACACAGGTGTGCTGTGTGCAAAGTGGGGGAATGGCTTTTCCCCAGGGCCAGCAGCCCCCCTGATCCCCTGCGTCCTCCCCGCAGCCTGCCCAGCCCAGCCATGGCAGCCTCGCTGAGCCGCCCCTGCTTCATCTCCCTCCACCTGCCCTACAGGCAGGGCTGGGGCCAGCACCTGGCCAGCACCTTTCGCTTCCAGCCAGTGGCCGTGCGGGAGACGCCGCGTGTCCGGCAGGTGGCCTTGCAACGAGAATCTGCCATCTTCCTCGTCAACGAGCGCCTGGCACCTGCCAGCACCTCATCCCATGATTTTCTCTATGACATAGATCCCCAGCCCACCCTGGGCACGGCCTCCAATGTCTGCTTCGAGGTGGATGATGTGCCGGGGCTCTGCAAGCGGCTGCAGAGCCAGGGATGCTCCTTGCTGGTGCCTCCCACTGAGCTGAGGGATGACGCTGGTTCTGTCACCTACGGGGTGGTGAGCTCTGTCGTGGGCAACATCAGCCACACCCTTTTGGACCGATCCTGTTACCAGGGGCTCTTCCTGCCTGGCTTCCAGCCCATCCAAGGAGCCCCCTCAGCCACAGGGGATGGGATCAAGATCACTCACTTTGACCACATCACATATGTCTGCCCCCGGGGCGGGGCCCGGGCGGCTCTGGACTGGTACCAGCGCTGCTTCGGCTTCCAGCGCTTCCTGCTGAACCCCCGGGAAAGGCCGGCTGAGGGGTATGTGCTGGGGGGACAGGGGGTGGGCATGCTGCTCCTCGCACTGCAGAGCGCCCAGGGCACCCCAGGACATGGCTGCAAGCTGGTCTTTGCCGAGTCTCTCTCCCAGAATGGCACCAACCAGGTCGACACGTTCCTGGAGCAGCACGGCGGGGCTGGGATCCAGCACGTCGGCCTCTGCACCACGGACATTGTCAGCACGACCAGGGCTCTGCAGCAGCGGGGAGCACGGTTCTTCACACCCCCCACCACCTATTACAGCCAGGGGGGCAAAGCAGAGGAGATCCGAGGAGCTGGGCAGGACCCCCACATGCTGGCAGAGCTTGGCATCCTCCTGGACACCACAGTGCCTGGGGACAAGGGTCAGCCGGGCACTGATGCCACAGAGAGCCCCTCCCAGGAATATCTGATGCAGATCTTCACCCATCCCATCTTCTCCGAGGAGACCTTCTTCCTGGAGCTCATTGACCGTCGGGGAGCGCCCGGCTTCGGGGAAGGCAATATCCGGGCGCTCTGGAAAGCTGTGCAGGTCTACATGGACCAGCAGCAGTAGTGCAACACTGCAGTCCTCCTCCCTCAGCTCCCCATCTGCTCCACTCCAACCCTGGGGCAAGGACCATAAAGATCCCATCCCTGGCATGGCCCAGGCGGGCAGGGACCAAGGATCCACATCAATCCAGAGCCAACTCAGCGTGGGAGCGAGATGCTCAGGGCCAAGTCCAGCAGGGGTGTGAGCATGGCCCAGGATGGGTGCATTTCTCCCCAGTGATTTATCGACCACATGTAAAGAACTTTCTGCCTTATTTTCAGCTTAATTTATTAAGACTTGAGCCTGGAGCATGGCCAAGAGTGTGCTGGCACAGAAACACCCCCAGACGCAGAGAGATGAGGGGCTGCCCAAGGGGAGTGGATAATCCAGAGGCCGTGGATTATGGGCCACTTACTGGCAGTTACCACCCACAGCATGACCAGCCCTGGGGGCGAGTGGTGGCCTCTTCCTCCTCTCAATTAAAGAATTAACTTACAGGCACTGCTTTGGGTTTTTAATCCTTTTGGGTCTTTTATTTAAGATGTGCCAAGTGCTGGGTCAGGATGAAATGGCCATTTCCATCACTCAAAGTGGGCATATCAGGAAAATTGAGATCACTGCCCCTAGCACCTCGCCAGGACTGTCCCTGCCAGCCCCCAGCATTGTGCATTTGCAAGGGTGCACCACCCTCAGCAAGAACACTGCCGAGCAGCCCAAGAGAAAAATTATAAAAGAAGGATGAAACCCTGCAAAAAGCTCTGGGGGCAGTTGTTCAGCCCCAGGGAGGAGCAGCCCACAGGCAGGAGCAGCACAGCCCTTGGTGGCTGATATCTGTCCTTGCAGGAGGGGTGCTCTGGGTGCTTTATTTGGGGTCACCAGCAGTTAATGCCCAGCCAAGGGGCTCTTGGGTGCACTAATGAAGAAATCCCCGCTCTCCCCAGCCCAGATCTAAGGGTCCTGTAGGCTATCTTCACACCACAGGCTGCCCAACACCCCCAGCTTAGCACAGTGCAACAGACAGTCACTTAAAAAACCCCACACACTTGAGATTTATTTTCAGGTCCAGTAAAAACAAGGAAGGGTACAGCAGCATCCCCAGTCACTGGCTGGGGCATGAGATGCAGGCAGGGGACAGGGACAGGGCCGCAGTAGCCATGTGGCCACAGCCTTCCCACTGCTGGAGAGAAAGCCCTGCTGCCCTGAGTCCACAGTGCCAAAGTGGTGGCAGTTCAGGGCTGAGTAGCCCCAGAAGGGCTCCAGCCAAGGAGGGAGGGCAAGTCTGGCTCCAGGATTAATCCAGGACCGGTGGCCACATCCAGGCACAATGCCCACAGGGGAGGCAGGGGAAAGGAAGAGCGAGAGACCATTGTAGTGCCATGTCCTGGGCTTGCTACAGCACAGGGACAGCACTGCCAGGCCCAGGCAGGGCTCACCCCAGCGAGGGGCTCTGGTGTCTCACACGAGGAAGGTCGGGGGCCTCACGGGCCAGTCGGTGCCCGGAGAAAGGCGTGGAGGGAGAGCTGTGTCCCAGGGCAGGGCCTGCCTGCTCCCTGCGCTTTTGCCCCCCGCTTCCGCTTGGAGCCCTGCAGGACACACAGCAGGGCTCAACCGGACCCCAGGGGCCCCCACGGTCTCCAGGGATCCCCCCTGGGTACTGGGGACACCCAGGGGCAATGCCAGTCAGGCAAGTGCCCTTGCCACGGGCTGGGGATGCTCCTTGGCCTGATCCCAAACCCTGGAGCACCTTCACCACAGCACACCAGAGGCTGTCCCACAGCACTGGGGCTCCAGGCAGCCTGGAGCACTGCTCACCTTGACAGGGCTGCTCTCCTTCCTGCGCTGCTTCTCGTGAGCTTTCAGCACCTGAAGGAAGAACAAGAGAGCCCAGAGCTGAACAGCAGCTGGGTCCTGGAGCTGGGACAGCCCAGAGAAATTCAGGGGATGCCAGGGGTTTATCCCAGGATAACTGAGGGAAGGGAGGAAAGGCCCAAGTGCCCCCCATACCTTCTTCATGGCTGTGGAAATGGCCGAGGCATGGAACTCATCCTCTGTCACCCAGCGGGATGGGGACAAGGCAGGGTCCAGGGTCACATCCCCATCTAGGTGCAGGGAGTAGACCACATACGTTTGGTGGATGTGGGAGAAGATGTGGATGACCTGTGAGGGGATGGAAAGACACACGAGACGGGCAGCTGGCAGGCAGTGGGGGATGCAAAGTGCACTGAGCCTGCCGGGATCCTGAGCAGTGGGGCAGAGCTTGGGAGGGGTGACAGTGGGGAAGGGATACCTTTCTTCTGTGTGCTACATCCCCATGGCTGAGCACAGGGGACTCACTGCATCCCTCCAGCTCCAGGCTCACCTCTCCAATAAACTGCAGGCCTTTTGCTGCCACGGGCTGCCCCATCCAGGCCTGGAGGTGATCAGCCAGCTCCTCCCTCTCCTTCTCCTCCTTCAGATCTTGAGCCAACGGGAGACTTGGGAACTCCCAGAGTCCAGCCAGGAGACCTGGGAAGGAGGCATGACAGAAATGTGAGACAGCAAGGGACACAGGCAGGGACACTGAGCCTTATCAGAGCCCCGAAGAGCTCCTTTCCCAACCCCAGCAACCAAAGCCACTCCCTCTATCCCTCATGAGGTGGAAGGGTCTGTGTGGTGCCTTCATCCCCTCCTTCCCAGCCCCATTACCCGAGCTGGGTCTCTGCACAATGAGGTATTCTGGGGCCCCATGGCAGCCCCTCCGCTCCAGCACACACGTGGCTGTCCGCATCACCCGCGGCGGCTTCTTCGCTGCTTTCCGGGGAAAGTTGGCCACCCCCAGGCTGCTGTCCCACGGCTCCGTGGCTGGGGGGCACAGGGGACAGTCCCCAACACCTGCAAACACCGGTGTAACAGCTGCTGCAGGGCTCAGACCTGGAGCTAGAACAGGGATCTCCCCACATGCTTACCACAGTCCTCAACATCAGGCACTGGGGGGGCTTTTCCAAACAGCTTCTGAGAGGTGAAGGCCAGCTCCTTCTCCACCTAAAAGGGCAGACAGAAGTGAGGACAGGCTCATCCACCAGCCCACCTTGTCCCCAGCCATGGCAAACCCTGGGGGCCACACTTACTCTGTGCCATGCCTGGCAGTGCTGTTTCACCGGGCACTCCCTGCACAGTGGGGATTTGGGCACACACACAGTTGCCCCCAGCTCCATCAAGGCTTGGTTAAAATCCCCTGGGCGACTCCTGTCCACCAGGACATTGGCCATGTCCCTGGAGAAACAGCAGTGAGAGGCACAGGGATCTCTGGGGAGAGCCTGCCAGGACCTTTGCCTGCCTCCTGCCTGTCAGGGGAAAGCTCCTAGGTAAGCACAGGCGCCTTTCACCAGTACTCCCAGCAGCACTAACTTCCCAAGAGTTCCCATCTCCACACCTGCCTCCCTTCCAGGCTCAGCTCCTGGGTGATCCTGCTCCAGAGACAGAGCATTCCCCTTACCAGAGCCGGTCGATGACAGCCGGGCTGCTGGAGTCGGCACCGATGCATCGCAGGCGGCACAGGACCCGGATCACGTTCCCATCCACAGCTCCCGTGGCCTGCCACCAGGAGCTGGGATTACCATGGTGGTACAAAGAAGGGAGCTGGGATGCTCCCAGGATGGAGAGTGACACAAATGAGGCCAACCCACAGTCAAGCTGGGTGGGGGCTGTGATGCATCCCAAGGACAACCCTGGAGAGCCCTTGGCTTGTGAGAGGCAGCAGCAGGACCTTCAGGAGTGGGGCTGGGCAGCCGAGGGGGAGACGTGTCCACTGTCACCAGCTCTCACCTGTCCGTAGGAGATGGACGCGATGGCTCCCGCCGTGTACCGGCCCACGCCCGGCAGCAGCTTCTGCAGCTCCTCAGCCGTCCTGGGCATCCGGCCAGCGAGCTCGGACACCACCTGGCAGGGAAGGGCCAAGCTCAGGGATGCAGCAGGGGTGGGTGTGTGCAAGGAACCCACTTTGCCCATGGGAAGATGGGATGCCAGCCTCTACAGCCTTGTGCCAGCAGCAAAGCCCCAGGGAGGCAGGGCAGACATGAGCCAGCACCAGCCCAGCAGCCACAGAACACTTTTGAAATGCCCTTCCCCCCCAGTCCAGCACCTTCCTTGCTGCTTCCTGCAGACGCTTCCCTCTGGAGTAGTAGCCAAGTCCAGCCCACAGCTCGTTCACCTCCTGCTCCGAGAGACGCAGCACAGCGTTAATGGAGAGCCACAGGGCAGGGAGAGCACCTAGCCCCGGTGATGCTCACCTCCAGGGACGCCTGTGCCAGAGCCTGCAGCGTCGGCCACTTCTGCAGGACAGAGGGAAAGGGACAAGTCAGGGACAAGCAGAGTTCTGGGGATCTGCCACAGGCAGGGGAGAGCTGCCCCCTCCGAAAGGGGCATCCTGTGGGCACAGGACTGTGTAAGGAGCAGTCACCTGCATCCAGCGGTTGTAGTAGTGGATCACCGTAGCCACCTGTGTCTGCTGGAGCATGATCTCGGACACCCACACTGCAGGGAGCAGGGCAGGGGTCAGAGCAGAGGCACCAACGCCACCCACACCTCGTGCTGTGGCCACGTTAGCACTGGCTACAAACCCTGCACAGCACCCAGCACGTGGGACACCCTTCCACCCCTCACCTGCCCCACAGGAGCTCCCCCAGGCCCCAGGTGGGTTCTCCAACCCCCCAGCACCTCGCAATGGGAATCAATGGCTCTCGTGGCCACTTCAGGCAGCTTGTTCCAAGGATGGCACACGAAGCCATACCTCACAGTGCAGTCCCTGCTCCTCACCTGCATACCCCCGTCGGTCGGCATCCGGCTCTGTCGCTGCCTGGAAGGGGAAGAAGATGAAGTGTGAGAAACAAGGTGACACAGGACCCCACTGCAGAGGGGACCTGTGTGTAAAATAAAACAGTCCATGGTGTGTTTTGAACACTGCAATAGAATCTGAAATTAAAACAAAATATTTTCCCCAAGCACTCAGAAGTTCTGAGTTTGGGTTAATCAAGTGACAGCCAAAGCAGCTTCTTGCTGATGAAATCCCCCAAAGACAGTTACTTATGAGGTTCAAAATCCCACAGAGAGCTATCCTGTACCTGAGCCTGCCTGCCTAGGAAGCAACTGGAGGCAGATGTAAATCCCATAGAGGGGCTGTGCAGTTCCCACCATTCAGACATTGCTGAAAAGCTGATGCCCACCCTCAACACCACAATGACTCTCGAGCCACTGCTGCCAGGCAGAGCACAGAACAGGCAGGAGCTCTAAAAATACGTCCAGCAGGCTTAAAACAAATACATGGGAAACCTTCTCCATGCAGCACTTGCTGCTTCAGGGCAGCATAGAGGCAGGAACAAAACAGGATTAAAACACAGCTAGACTAACCGTGCCAGAGATAAGTACTCCTCTTGATGGTTATATTTGAGAAGTGTGCCCTGCTTTTACTCTTCATACCTAAGGATTGGCTTCAGACCACCCACCACAACACAGCCACGACTAGCTGGGAGCACTTCCATGCAGGTAGGGATGCACGACATAGGGAAAAGCACCATGGGCACATCAGCCAGGCTCCCTTAAGGCAGAGTAGTTCCCCACCCCCGCTTCCCCATGTCTCCCGTTACCAGTGTCCTCCAGGGAAGGTCCCGCTTGCACCGGTCATACCAGGCGAGCAGATTCCGGCGCAGGGCCTGGACCTCGGCCGGGTCGCTGAAGAGATGCCGGGCGGGCGGCGGAGCGGGCGCTGCAGCCGGGACCCCTGCCGGGAGAGCGGCGGGAGCTCAGCGCACGGGGGGGGGGCCCGACCGAGCCGCTGCCGTGCGGCGCGCACCGAGCACCGGGCTTTACGAGGAGCCAGCCAGCACTGCCCGGGCTGGCCGTCCGTGCCCCGGAGGGAGCACCCCGCGCTGCCCAGCCCTCCCGGTACCGGCAGCTCCGCGGGGCGAGCCCCGTTCCGGCTGTCCGTGCCCCGGACGGAGCACCCCGCGCTGCCCAACCCTCCCGGTACCGGCAGCTCCGCGGGGCGAGCCGCGCTCCGGCTGTCCGTGCCCCGGGGGGAGCACCCCGCGCTGCCCAGCCCTCCCGGTACCGGCAGCTACGCGGGGCGAGCCGCGCTCCGGCTGTCCGTGCCCCGGGGGGCGCACCCCGCGCTCCGGCTGTCCGTGCCCCGGGGGGAGCACCCCGCGCTGCCCAGCCCTCCCGGTACCGGCAGCTCCGCGGGGCGAGCGGCGCTCCGGCTGTCCGTGCCCCGGGGGGCGCACCCCGCGCTCCCCGCTCCGCCCCCGGGCCGGGGTCGCGCTCCCCCCGCTCCGCCGGAGCGCGCGGGCCCGCGCGGGGCCCATGGCGCAGCCGCCGCCGCGCGCGCTTTCCCGGGAAAACGCGTCCCGCCCCGCCCCCGCGCGAGGGCCAATCAGAGCGCGGGTCCCGCCCGCCAGCCAATCGAAGGGAGGCGCGCGGAGCGGGCTCGTACCCGCCCCCTCCTGGAACCCGCAGGGTGAGGGGCGGAGCCTCCAGGCGCGCTGGAGCCAATCAGCAAGCCCAGAGCGAAAGGACACGCCCCTGCTCCCGCCGGGCCGAGCGGCCGCTCGGGAAGGACCCAAAGGAGCTGTGCCAACTAAACGCCTGTTGACTTAATTCCAGCTTCGGTTGAAAACGGATTTTGAGAACGGTAGAAAACCCCACCGGGACCGGCAGAAGCCGGGCCGGCCGCGAGGGCGGGCCGCGCTGGGCGCGGAGCGGGCACGGCGTGCCGGGTCCGCGGCGGGCAGGCGGCAGGCAGGCGGTGGGCAGGCGCGGCCGCGGAGGCCCCGTGCGGGCGCAGCCATGGCGGGCCCGGCGCGGGTGCCGGTGGTGGATGTGCAGAGCGACAACCTGGCGGACCTGTGGCCGTCCATGCTGCTGGCGCTGCGCTCCGCCACCTTCGTGGCCGTGGACACGGTGAGCCGGGGCGGCGGCGGGACGGGGCGCGGCGGGTGCCGGGGAGCTGCTGACGGTGTCCGTGTCCCCGCAGGAGCTGAGCGGCCTCGGCGCCAGGAAGTCGCTGCTGAGCCCGTGAGTGCCCGGTGGGGCGGGCGGGGGGGTTTGCGTCTCTCCGTACCGGCGGCGCGGGGTCCTCTCCCCGGGCACGGACAGGCCGGAGCCGTCACGGGCCGTTCTCCGCCGCCAGGTGCATCGAGGAGCGCTACAAGGCCGTCTGCAGCGCCGCCAGGACACGCTCCGTCCTGTCCCTCGGCGTCGCCTGCTTCAGGCAGCTCCCGGAGAAGGTGCGTGCGCGAACCGTGGCGCGGCCGTTGTCTCTTGGTCGGTCCCGGGAGACGGGGACGCGCTGGGAGATGGAATTCCCGCGTGGAATTGTCCCGGCTGTTCCGGCAGCTCTGACGGGTGTCCCTGGGCTCTTTGCACGCTCTCCTTGTGCAGTCCGAGAACACGTACCTGTGCCAGATCTACAACCTCACGCTGCTCTGCACCGAGGATTATGTGGTCGAGCCCCAGTCAGTGCAGTTCCTAGTGCAGCACGGCTTCGACTTCAACAAGCAGTATTCCCAGGGGATCCCTTACCACAAGGGCAACGACAAGGTACAAACCCACTCCCTTTCATACCCCTCAGCCTGCTCTGCTCCAAGTTTCTGGCAGTGTGCTGGCTTCCCCTGCTCCTGTGTGAAGGCAGGTGCGCACTGGGGTCCCGTGTGCAGCATTATCCCTTTCACCTCCCTGCTGCTTTAAACCCACTCATTGCAGTTGCTTTTCCAGCAACTGCTGCAGGCTCTGAGGGCTCTGCAGGCTGCTGGGGCTCCCTGACCGATCCTCCTCACGCAGGGCAACGAGAGCCAGAGCCTGAGCGTTCGGACGCTGTTCCTGGAGCTGATGCGGGCGAGGAAGCCGCTCATTCTCCACAACGGCCTGATCGACCTGGTGTTCCTGTACCAGTGTTTCTATGCTCACCTCCCGGACAGCCTCAGCACCTTCACCGCCGACCTCTCCGAGATGTTCCCGGCGGGAATATATGACACCAAGTACGCCTCGGAGTTTGAGACTCGCTTTGTAGCCTCCTACCTGGAGTACGCCTACAAGAAGTGGTGAGCAGCACACTGGTCCTCAGAGCTTACAGGAGGAAAGGCAAAGGGAACGTCAGTGTGTGCTTGTTTTTCCAGGCAAGGGGGCTCTGTCCTTTCACTGTCCCACTGACTGAAGGTGCTTTTCAGGTGACTCTGCCCTGGGCTTTTTCTGTTTCTAGAATGGGTTTGTTTTTTAATAGGCCTTACCTGTTCTGTGGGCAGCAGCTGAAAGAGAACTTCAGAACTGGTGCCAGGAGAAGACTGATCACAGTGGCCTGATCTGAGATCTAATTGGGTCGTTGCCTGGCTCTGGTGCAGTAGTGCCACAGGGTCATGGCAAAAACTCACACAGAAAAGAAACCAGGGCTGTCCTGTAGGTCTGCTAATTATAATTCTGTCTTGTGAGGGATACTGCAGTTAAAGGGTGGGTGCTCACTGCACTCCTTGGCACTGACCAGCTCTGTCACATGAGACATCTCTGCACACGAGATGCCCATGGCCCACTCTGACTCCCATCATTTCCTTCCAAGCAAGGGTTGTGCTCTTGCTCAGGACACACATCTGTGCTTTGCAGTCTGGCCCCACATTCTGCAGGCCCCACACAACCTAAACAAGCCCCTTGCAGTGATAAAGCCCCTGCGATCTCCATAAAGCTCAAGTCATGCTCTGTTTTGAGGAGAAATGGTATTTTTTGTGACGGTTTTATCTCAGGAAATGCCATTCTGACAGGTCTGAAAACATTCAAGATGGCCGTTCTCAAAACATGAGAGTGCTTTGTTTTGACAAGATAAAAATAACTTTCTAAGCTGACATCTTAAATGTTTTAACCCAAGTTCTCATTAGGTAGAGCCTTCCAAAGGTTTTGGCCTTTTAACCAGCTCTTGGGGCACATAGAGATCAGATTTATTTTTTTTTTATTAAATGGAAACTCTTTCCTTGTTGTCTGCATTGCCCAGGTTCAACCTGCCTGGGTGGCGACTGCTGGATGGTCTGCACAGTACCTTGTTTTGGGGCATCTTTTCCTTATCCATTACCACTATGAAGACAAAGACGAATCTTAGTGCCCTTTGTAGTTAAAAAAACAAACTGTGCATACCCTTCTCCTGTAACTTCAACAGAGCTACTGCTTTCCCTTTTTCTGTATCAGTATAAGAAAAAAACCCTTTCAATCAGCATGAAAACAACTACTTACTATAGCTGCTCTCTTGGGATTGAATTCCTTTCCAGCACCCGGGGCTGGAGCTCAAGAGCAGGAGAGTCATGGAGTTGAGAGCTGGTGGAGAGCAGTGTTGGCTCCGTGCCCCAGTCCCATCCCACAGTAACTGTGCTCCTCTTGTTCCAGCAAGCGAGAGAACTGCAAGCTGAGGGACTCCAGCGGGCAGCACCTCACGGTGGAGTTCTGCAACTACCCTGCCAACATGTCCCGCTATATCGACTACCGCTGCTGCTCTCTGGAAGGAGACGCCCACAGCGCTGCAGGGGGCAATAAGGTGCCTGTCTGTGAGAAATTTTCGGTAAGTAACACTAATCCCTGCGCCCTTCGTGACTCCATGGAAAGGGGCACATGTGGCCTGAGGCAGAAGTTGTGGGAAAGCATCTAGCAACTTCTTCATATATGGCACAAGGAACATTTTCAAGCTTCATGTGGCTTCGTGACAGACAGGGCAATAGCGTGCTCTGCTTTGAGGCTGGGAATCCTACAGGCTTCATTAGGAAGATTCCAACAGTCTATGGCTCTAAACAGTGGGACAGTACGAGTTAAAGCACACCTTGCTCTCTTGGGGGGGCTGCAAGTTCTGTGTTAGTTTGGCTTGTCCTACAAGAAAGAAGTGCCACCTCTACCCTTCCCTTTATCTTCATTAGATATAAAAAATTATTACCTGTCAGTAGCTTCTGGCACTGTAGCACAGGGTGATCCACAAGAGCTTGTCCTAGTGCAGCTACAGCAGCAAAGAGCCCATCTGGTCAGATCATAACTGGCTTCAGGTGATTCATGGAGAAAAGGAGCTGTTCCACACGTTGTATATTCTGTCACAGAACATAAGTTGGGGAAATCTCTGGAAGTTTCTCATCCAACCACCCTCTCAATGTTGCTCAGAGCCTTGTTTGGTAAATTTTGAAACTGGGTAAGGACAGAGATTAAAAAACTACTCCAGAGCCCTGTTTAAGTGCTTGACCACTACATGAAAAATGTTTTCCTGCATCTCTAGTCATAATTTCCCCTCTTACCAGGTCCCTTCTCCCTGTGCTCTCACAAGAGTTTAGCTTCATCTTCCTCATAACCTCTGCTGTAGGTACCTGCAGACACCAACTAGATAACCCCTTCCCCTTAGCCTTGTCTTTTTCAGGTAGAACAAACCCACCTTCCTTAGCCTCTGCTCACATGCTGTGTGCTGCACCCAGTACAGTGTGTCAGCACCTTCCCTGTGTGCTGGGGATCTGTAACTGGACACTGTCCCTGCTGCAGCCTCACAAGCCCGCAGTGGAAGGGAATAACGAGCTCCACTCCACGTTATGGTGATTGTTGCTCTAACCAGTAAGATGGAGGTTACAGACCCCTCTCTCTCTCTCCCTAGGCCTATGGGTGGTGTCCAAAAGGGGTGAAGTGTCCAGAGTCTCATAATATTGACCTCATCATTGACGAGGATGACAAGCTTTGGGAGAAGCGAAATAAACGGAAGCAGAGATGGAAGCAGCGGAAGAACCTGAAAGCGCTCACAGCGGCATTCCAACAGGAAAGCTCAGGGGACAACATGGAGCAAGCTCAGAACGGGGAGGAGGGACCGCCACGGAAGCAGAGCTGCTATGAGCCTGCAGCTGCTACAGAGCTGGCAGAGATCACACCCAACGGGGAGG